GAAAATTCAATTTTGGATAATTGAAACTGCAGCTGTTCACCTGGTTTATATGCAGTCATACTTCACAGGGCATCAGTTCTTTGTTAGATAAGCATGCAAATCACTATATCCAATAGTAGTGTGTAGGAAGAAGCAGGCGCGATGCAAGAATGAGGAAAACTCCCTGGCCTTCAGGAGTCTCATGGGAAACATTGGTTTGGGGTTTTTTTTCTATAAAGTTTAACATTCCTATACCTCATCTTCTCGGTGTCTTACAGTTACATGACTTCTCCAGTGTTTCTTGAAAGTGCGCATTAGAAAAACCCAAATTAAAAATAAAAAAAACAACAACAAACATTTAAATAAAGGCTTAAGACTGGAATTTCCGTGTTCACCAAAATCCCCACCAACCCTAACCTCCTTCTGCCCTCAGGAGGTACTTGTAAAAATATAACACCTTAGTTTTGCTCCTAACCAGAGTCATGGATGATATACCAGTATAGTTATCACTTAACAGATTATTTATGTGACTTTATCTGGGGAGCCTACTAGGAACAGTAAATATATATTTTATGAATTTTTGTCATCTCAGGATGTAGCATATACCAAAGGGTCGATATTTGCAAATAAAATGGAAATGAGCTAGAAATATAATCCATGAATACAGATGTGAAAATCAATATGTGATGGTGTGCAGGATTGATTTGCCATTTAGGAATCTTCAGGTAAACAAAAACTTCAACATTGCCATGGTCTTTTCCCACTCTCACCCCAACTTGAAGGCTCCTTAGTTTTGTACCTGGAGCAAAAGGTAGAATATTGTGTCCTGACTGCTTGAGAGAGCATTATCACTGCAGGACCGTAATGGAGAAAGCTTGTTCGGAGCCGGGTTCTGGCAGGGGTCCCAGGGAGAGAGCTTCGCTTGCAGCCAGTGTGTGCGTACATTGGTCTATCATTCCTTAGAGGCCAAGTGTTGTGACTTTTCAAATTGCATAGTTAATCTGTAGCTACCACCTGCCAGATTCCCATGGGGAAGCAGGTTTTTAAAGACCAAGTAAGTCCATGCTCCTTTTTAACATCATGGGTTAGGGAGATGAGCCGAATTTAAAGAACAAATTGGAACATGAAGCAGATTTTTCCCAACTAAAATGAGAAAATTAGGAGCCTGAAGGAAGCAGAAGTAGGTTTTAGTAGAGGGGCCTGGGGGGATTACCATTAGGGGAACGTTTGTCATAAACTGAAGTTTGAGGAATAATTGAGGCTGGAAGGTTTGGCCTGCAGGGTTTGACCCTTGGTTGCTATCAGATGCACAGGCCTGTGTTGTTTGGACCTGGAGCACATGTTTTCGCTTCAGGCTTCTAGTACTTCTAGACATCTTTTTTAGCATTGAACTGTCTCCCCGTTAGCCCCATCGTTTCCCGATACATAGTGTAGCACATTGTTATCTAGCAAGTACTTTGGAACAGAGTGAACTGGACATCTGTTGCGTACCTCGGCTTAGTCCCAGAATCTCATGGCACTCCAGTTGCTAAAAGAGGGTTGTCCCAAGACTACTGACCACTGCTGGTATGGAAAGTAGTATTCAGTTGGAAAAGAAGTTCTACCATTTTCTTTTTAGCCTTCAGACATTTGCTTATAGACTGAGGAAACAGCAGGCTAAGAAGGTACCCAGATCATGACAGAACTTCAAAGCAGCTCTTAGGAGAGGGAGCTAGAAAAGTAGACTTCTGGGACAGAACAACCACTTTTCCCTGGATACCATAAATTAGAAATTGAATTATGTCTTCCTCAAATGTGTGTTGTAAATCTAGCCTGTGATCATAATACCATTTGGGAATGGGTTGACTTTGTTGTGTTAATGAGGCAAGCTTTAGTGTAGGGTGTACCTTGAGTTCAGTCTCTTGAGATAGAAAAGAGATTAAGCAAGCAGAGGAGAGGTGGAGCACAAGAGGAAGACACATGGAGGACTCCAAGGAACCATGGAGAAACCGAAGAGACAAGAGACTTCCCCCCAAAGCCAACAAAGAAAGCTTCTCCCTAGAGCTAGCACCCTGCATTTGGACTTCTAGCCTCATAAGCTGTGAGAATAAAGTTTTGTTTGTGAAAGTCATCTACTCGTATTTCTGTTATAGTAGCCCTCGGTCACTAAGATAGAAATTAGAAGAGTAGGGCGATGCTGGAGGGCACTGGAATAATCTAGAGGGGCTTCAAAAGCAGATACCTATGCTTTATCCTGGATTATGGGCTATAGTACAAAAGTTTTTAGTTGCGGGGGGAGGGGCAATGAGTAAATTTTATTCTGAAAAGGGGGTAGTAGACCAATTCAGTTTGGGAACCTATGCTCTTAACAGATGAACTGTGGAAGTGATTTTAGAATTGGGTTAGTAGTAATGTGTAGCAGCTGGAAGAGTTTGGACTGCTATCAGAAGGTTGGTGGTTCCAACTCCGCAGTTGCTCTATGGGAAAGCACAAATCCTATATAGGATTTCTCTGAGTCAGAATCAAATCAATGGTAGAAGATTTAGAATTTTGAAATAGTAAAAATCTAGATACCCCGCTATCAGTTTGTCCTACTGTGGTGGCTTGTGTGATGCTGGAAGCGATGGTACTGATATTTCACATAATGTAACCCAAAGTGAAGAGGTTTCAGCAGAGCATACAGACTTAAGGACAGACTATGAAGAAGGAATAGGATGTCCATTTCTGAGGAATTTGTTGCTGGATAGCATCAAAACATTGTCAGACAATGAAATCCTATGAATCTGGCAGAACTTTGCTACAGATAGTATCAGAAGATGAGATGCTAAAGTCGGAAGACACTCAAAATGTGATTGAGGAAGAGCTGCCTTCTCAACAGTGGAGTCAACCACAGTGATGTGGATGGACAAAAGCTTTCAGAGCCTATGTTTACTGACGCAGGAGACAAAACAAGAACAAATAGCCCCAAACATCAGTTAATGGAGCTTGGAAGGTACTAAGTATGAATCTAGGAAAATTAGAAGCTGTAAAAAATGACAAGGAACTCATAAAGATCAACATTGTAGGTGTTAGTGAGCTGACATGGACTGCCATTGACTGTTTTGAATCAGAAAATTAGTGTTTATGCTGGGAATGACAGATTCAAGAGGAATGGCATCACATTCATTGTCAAGAAGGGCATTACAAGATCTATCTCGATGCCCTCATGAAGAAATCACTATGGGTGTTATGCAAAGTGTGGTGAAGAAACTAGAGGATGCCCATCAATCAAAAAATAGCTTTTGGGATATTGAAGGCTTGTTTTCAAACAAGCAGCCATCTAAGTGAGGCATCAACTGAGTCTACATGGTAGAAGAACTTTATTCTGTGTGATCTAAGGATTGTGAACACCCAGTTTGCAGAAGGCTCTAGACCAGTGGTTCTCAACCTTCCTAATGCCTTGGCCTTTTAAGCCAGTTCCTCGTGGTGGTGACCCCCCAATCATAAAATTATTTTCATTGCTACTTCATAACTAATTTTGCTACTGTTATGAATCAGGAGACCCCTGTGAAGGGGCCAAGGGGTTGCAACCCACAGGTTGAGAACTGCTGCTCTAGACTCGAGCGGACAGTGGAAGCCCTAAATCCATTTTCAGGGTCCATACAGATTAAACCTCTGGTGAATCCCCTCTGATTATAGTTGAGGGCAGTGAATAGCCCTGTTAACATTCAGAACATTATAAAGTCATTTATGGCATTTGAGATTAGGTTAAAAATGTAATATAATTTGATCTTTCTTTTGGGCCTTCTTAAAGCTTGTTCATTTAAAAGTGAAGGGGGGATACATGTACATTAAACTCCTGGGGAATCCATTCTGACTCGATCAGGGATGTAAATAGCTTTGCTATCATGCAATGCAATTCATTGGAAAGTGGAGTGTTGCAGATGCAGTTAGGTTAAAATTTAGGACCTTATCACTTTATCTCCCTCTGATCTATTTAAATTTGCTCTATTTTTTAAATTTCTGCTTTATTTTTTACTAAAAGTTTTGTTTTTGTTGTTTTTAATGTTATATATATAACAATGTAAATTTAGAGAGACAGTAATTGGATTAATAGTTCCATGAGGGTATGGCAGGAGAGGTTGGGGGGAAATGAGCTAATAATGAATACAAAGATGAAAATGATCTAAAAGTAATTGTAATGATTGTACAACTCTTCTTGATCTTTTTAACTATTCAATGATATTTGAACTATATACCAATAAAATTGTTGGGGGGGGGGAATCTATCTTGAAGTTCTGTGCTGTCTGTAATAACATCTATTCCCATACAAGGAATTCCAGTCAATACAACTATTAGTCAAGTATATTATATGCACCGACTGCTAAAGCTAGTGATGCATAAACTGGAGAATTCCATCAACATGAAATTGGTCAAAAATGCAATCAAAATGCATTAATAGCTGGTGATTGGTATGTGAAAGTTAGAAACAAAGAGGAAAGAACTATAGTTGGAAAATAAGGTTTTAGTGAAATAAATTAACCTGGAGACTATGTGGTAGAATTTTGCAAGACCAACAATGACTTCTTCGCAAGTCTCTTTGAACAACACAAATGGCAATTTTCCACGTGGACTTTGCCAGATTGAATACACAGAAATCAATGAAACTGAATACATTTGTGGAAACGCATAACAGAGAAGCTCTACACCAGCAGCTAAAACTAGACCAGGGACTGACTATAGAACAGATCAATATGTAAGTTCAGGAAGCTGAAGAAAATGAAAACAAATCCACAAGAGCCAAAGTACAACCTTGAGTATGTCTCACCTGAATTTCAAGATCACCTTAAGAAAGATTTTGCAGATTGTACAATAATATCGGAAGACCTGATGAACTATGGGAGGACATCAAGAACAGCATACATAAAAAAGCAAATGGGAGATGCTTTTCGCAGAGCCAATACTGCCTCCTGTTTCAATGGTGCTCCGAGGCTCCGCCCAGCCAGCCTCCAGCAGCACCTCTCAGCTGCACCCTGTGAAGCCCCCAGGCCGCCACTGCTGCCATGACTGGAGGCCGCTACCAACCACCAGATCAACCTGGAGCTCTAGGGCTCCTAGTCTACTTGCCCATGTCTTACTACTTTGACCAGGATGACGTGACTCTGAAGAATTTTGCCAAATACTTTCTGCACCAGTTTCAAGAGGAGAGGGAACATGCTGAGAACCTGACGATGATGCAGAACCAACAAGTGGGGTGGATCTTCCTCCAGGATATTTAGAAACCAGACCTTGAAAACCAGGAGAGTGGGCTCAGTGCCATGGAGTGTGTGCTACACGTGAAGAATGTCAACCAGTCCCTACTGGAACTGCACAAAGTGGTCACTGACAAGAACGACCCCCATCTGTGTGACTGATTGAGATGTAATACCTAGACAAGCCGGTGAAATCCATCAAAGAACTGGACAACTACATAACCTCTGCAGGTTGCAGCCCCGGATTCCGGCAAGCACACCCTGGGAGACAGTGACAAAGCTGAGGGGCTGCCTGGCCTTCCCCATGTCACCAAGACAGCACATGCAGGTTGAGTAGACCTGCCCCTTTTCAAAAAATTGTACCCAAGCATCCACTTCGGTTCTTTCATTTGTACCATTTCTTCAGATAAAGTCATTTGATACCCCACCACCACCACCACCAAAGAAAAAAGTAAACAGTCATCAAGACAAGAAAGGAAGAAAAAGTAGACCTCAGAAGAGACTTGGTCTTAATTGTGGAGGAGCTAAGACAAATGGAAGAAATGGTGAAGTCAATAGCTGAACAGAGAATTTGAAAGGGTAACTCAGGAAGACAGATAAAATGAAATGTGCAAAGACCTAGAGTTGGAAAACCAAAAAGGAAAAACATACTCAACATATTTTAAACTGAAAGAACTCAAGAAAAAAAATCAAGCCTTGAGTAGCAATATTGAAAGTTTCCACAGACAAAATAGTGAATGATGCAAGAAGCATCAAAAGAAGATGGAAAGATGAAGGGCCGGCCCCAATCCCAACTATGTGGACGCTTGCCCCTCTCCCCAGAAGAATTTATTTCAGAGGACAGCACTGAAGCTACAGCTCAAGGAGAGGGACATGTCTGATCAGAGCACACAGCAAATGAAGGGGGAGGAAGAGAGAGTGGAGCACATCCTGGTCCACCGAGCCTTGAGAACGATATTCCCATTCAGAGAAGCCAATCCAGAGAGAAGACCATATGGCCGGCCCCACTATGAGACCCGACATCCCTCACTGACCCATAGCCCTATGGGGGACAACACTGAAGACACAGTGGGGGAATTGCACCTGTTCTGATCACACTACACTGAGGCAAAACAGTAAGGGTATGCAACAGAACAGCAAGGGGAACAGAGCAATGAAGTCCCCAAGGAATACCAAAATTAGACTTTGGGGCCAGGGCTTGGAACCCCATCAGACTTGACTGGAAAACACTCCTGAAGGCCAACAAACAGTCCTTGAACTAACTACAAGCTTTTGTGTTTTTGGTTTTTTGACATTGGCTTTTTGTTGTTTTGTTTTCTTTTGTTGCTTGGTTTTGCTCTGTCTTGTTTTTGTGCATGTTATTATCTCCGCAGGTCTGTGTAAATAAGATAGGCTGGATGAACA